GCGTTGGTTTCGACAGTGGTATCAAGAAAGCCGACCGTCCAGTAAGCAATGGCAAACTACTGGACGTAAATTACCTACAGAAACCACACAACAGCCAGGGGCTGTTAGGGTTGGTTCTGCAACGTCCTGTATAGGATACGCAACTAACTTTATGAGGAAAGGGAAAATGGAACATGGTTTGCCCACTGGAAAGATTTGTTAAATAGAGGAAGACAACGAGAGACATATATATATATATATGGGGGGGGGGGGGTAGGGTTTCGGAGAAACAGAAATGGACTGACAGGCAGACAGACGCGCAATGCATAAACCTCACAAAACATTTTTGTGATTTAAAACGTGCTGATTTTTCCTCATATACTGAATTCACTGCTAACTACTTATTAAGATTTGATTTAACTAAATCACTAAGCTGTCACCAATTGTCATTTCGTTGTATAGTACATTGTATAGTAAAATCCCAGACATAACCTAACCTCGTCTGACACCTCTGGTTTTGAGAACGGCATTATCTGACCTTGTATATTTTTGGTACCCCATTCACCATAGAGACTTCCCTTAAAGCGAACCTAGGCTGACAACCGCAGCTCAGGAAGGTTATTGCATAGTTCGTAAGAGTTACCCTTCTTAAGTGGACGAAAGCCGCCATAGTGTTGAGGCTAGACGCTGGCCTGTTGGTTTTAAGGTCGTGGGTTTGAATCCTCATCTAGAAGGACATATTTTTATTTCTCCACCCTTTTACTGACCTCCCATGTAGATCCAACGTGGAATGGGTGCCATGTAATGCCTTGCCATGGGAAGGAAAGGAGACGATGTGATGTTGACCACATTGCCCACAATTGCCAATCGACATAAAATATGAGTAGTTTTTTTCTTTCTTCAGAAACGAGAGTTTAATCATCCAAACAAGAGACAGAGTATTTTATGTGTAAGCAAGGAATAGAAACACGACTGATCTTGCAAAGATCAAAGAAATTGGAAGAATAGAGGACTTTGGGGGCAGTGAATCCACATCACTCGCCAGAATGGCAGACTTGGGAATTAAGACCGGCATAGCCACACAAAAAAAAAAAAAAAAACGAGACGGACACCAGACACACCAGAAGACTTGTTAATCAACATAGAACTGGTACTATTAGCCGTCAGACGTTGGGGTTCATACTGAGGGGAGGATCTGAGCACCTATGGACGTGTCTTGAGGGCAATGATGATAACCCAACTAACTAACTAACTGATATTGCAAAAAAAGAACAAAAAGAAGTAGAAGGAGAAAAAGTAAAAACATAGCCGGTGGAAGAGAGGGTCATGTAAAAGAAATATAAAACAGAGAGGTAATGAGGAAAAGAATGAAGGGAATTAGCTAGAGAGGCAAAAGAGAGCAAGGACGCAGAAAAGAAAAGAAAAAAAAGGAAAAAAGGATCATGTTTATGATAACGTGACTTCAACATACATCATTTATTCACGACTAGCTCCAAGAATTTTGATTAAAAAACTAACGAAATCTTCTCCTAAGCTTGCCTTTTGGGTCCCAATTTAGCAAAATCCTATCCTCGCCATTTTACAAATTTATTTTTTTTACGGCTTGAACTCTTTGAAGTTAAAATGCGTATTTGTTAAAACCTCTACTTTTAAGTGATTATCGTTAACACTCCCATCCTCTAGCTAGTTTATGTTTAATTTGCTCCAGTACATACTTGCTCTTTTCGAAGCTTTGTCCTAAGGACAGAATGATGCAAACGACAACACCTGTTAAACTGTACCCTGATAAAATGATACTATAGGCATCATTATTATTGTTTCAGTTTTCTTCTTTCTTCTTCTTCTTCTTCTTCTTCTTTTTCCTCCTCTTCCTCTTATTCTTCTTCTTCATTTCTTCTTCTTCTTCTTCTTCTTCTTCTTCTTCTTCTTCTTCTTCTTCTTCTTCTTCTTCTTCTTCTTCTTCTTCTTCTTCTTCTTCTTCTTCTTCTTCTTCTTCTTCTTCTTCTTCTTCTTCTTCTTCTCCTTCTTCTTTTTCCTCCTCTTCCTCTTATTCTTCTTCTTCATTTTTTTTCTTTTTCTTCTTCTTCTTCTTCTTCTTCTTCTTCTTCTTCTTCTTCTTCTTCTTCTTCTTCTTCTTCTTCTTCTTCTTCTTCTTCTTCTTCTTCTTCTTCTTCTTCTTCTTCTTCTTCTTCTTCTTCTTCTTCTTCTTCTTCTTCTTCTTCTTCTTCTTCTTCTTCTTCTTCATCTTCATCATCATTATCTTCTTCTCCTTCTTCTTCTTCTTCTTCTTCTTCTTCTTCTTCTTCTTCTTCTTCTTCTTCTTCTTCTTCTTCTTCTTCTTCTTCTTCTTCTTCTTCTTCTTCTTCTTCTTCTTTTTCTTCTTTTTCTTCTTCTTTTTCTTCTTCTTCGACTTCGTCGTCGTCTTCTTCTTATTATTATTATTAATTATTATTATTATTAATATTAATTATTATTATTAATTTTTTTCTTCTTTTTCTTCTTCTATTTCTTTTACACCACACACTGTTCTTTATTTTTATATTTACCAACCATTTATCCTAGCTAATCATTTATTGTCATCTTCTTCATGCCTCTTATACCCGGGCACCGAACCAGTGTTTTAGGCATCTTGAGCTCCTACTCCACCCCGATTCTTTCTTTGAATGACACATTTAAAATGGCTCAGATATGCCTGGGGCTTCGATGCATCCCCACTCCCCTTTTCGACAATTTATAGAAATAACCTAGGTTTTTTTTTTTTTCAATACATACTTAACTTTTACAATAAACTGGTATTAACCACAGTCTGTTTCTGTCATCCGTCATTGTCTTGGCAGCCGCTGTGGTGTAGCGGCTAGACGTTGGCCTGGGGTTCGGAAGGTCATGGCTTTGGATGCTGATAGAACCAAACTTTTTTTTCTTCAAAAATGTTTTTGCCCTCCGGGTCGACCTACTCTTGATTCGCCGCCAAGGAAGTCCTGGAAAGTAAAAGCGGCCGGCGTGAATTTGAGCATCACGACGAATGATCAGTTCTTAACCAGTTATCTACAATTAGCCACTCACTGATTTAAAATGAAAGAGTTAAATACAACACTGACCCTACTTCTGAATAAGATAGAAACATCGCCGCGCAAAAAGCTCCAGTCTCAAGAACATAGAAGGAGATGGCAGATTCTTTTAAATTTTAAAGTAATGTACGTTTAAAGTATTACTGTACATTTCTGTACAGTACAACTCTTATTTTAAAATTGGTGTAGATCCTTTTGTAAAACTAAATACGATGTGTATGCATTATTTACTTTCACAGGATTTTTTTTTTCACCTGCAGTGAAATCACGTTACTGTATATGAGTTTTAAAAGATTTCTGTTATCGATTATTCTCTTATCCATCACAACCTTGATCCGGACGGTGACGGCTAATCGAAGTTTGACTGTACTTTATTAAGTCCATCCTTCTCTACCTTGGGGTTTTGAGGTTTGCCAGAGAGGTCGTCAGACTTCTCTGCCAGCAGTTTTCTTTTTGGCTGTCTTCCGTTCGAGTTCTCTGTCAGTCAGGGACTGTGGGATGTTGTCTTCTCATTGAATCCTAGGTCATCCTGTAGGTCTTGTTGCCTAGTTCTTGGCGCCCCCCCCCCCCCCAAAGCTTGCCGTATTTAATATAAGGAGAATATAAAAGATAAAGGGGAGAGTACAAATAGGACAGAACAATCCATAGTAATGTAACAGGCTGGTGACAGACGGTAGATTTCTGGCCTGTTTATTTTAGTTTAACAACCTATAGCTGCTGGCACTGGTCAGGTGGTTCAGTGGAACTCTTCAGTATTGTCCAGCAGGTCACGTGAGTCGTGGAAGGTGATAAAAGGCCTGATTCTGTTAACAGTTTCCCTTTCCAGCTATAGCGGTACCAGACGCTAGAAGCCCTTCCGATTTGTCGCCCAAACCGAACACGGTTAAAGCGCGAATTAGGTTCAGACTGCATAACGGTACTACCTGGTTGTTGGTCTGCTAGTAGTTGTCAGTATTTTGTTATTCATTGATTTACTAGTTGCTTGGTTAGTTCTACTGGTCTGCTTATACCTTCGGTTAGTAGTTCTTAAGTATACTGTTTTCGGAGTGTTGCCAAGGATTATTGTTATATGTCATCAAGCCAATAAAGTTTCTGTATTCTTCAACTTACATTCGTGTTATTTTAGTTAGTATGTCTAGGTTTTACTGTTAAACTATATTAGACCCCACACAGAAGATTTGCTGCCAGGGTGAGATACTTTGATTTTACCCACGTCTAAACGAACTTTTTCTGTTTTCTTTTCTTGCTACTGAGGCAGCTTATGGTTGGGTTTAGCTCGCCACGCGACATTGTTGAGAGCTCTTGTAGGTTCGGAGTAGATTTTCATATTATCCTTAGCTATCTCTTCTGTTTTCCCTTCATCACAAGTTAAATCCTTCCTCTAATTTTGCTTCTAGTACAAGTGGCGTCGTCGACAAGGATTAGGTCGCCAGTATTTTTTTTTTTGTGCGTTGTCTAGATAGGCCAGTTTTGCATAGTGTTAGGTTAGGTTGCTTTCGTAATAGTCTGTGCTAGGGTTTTGTTTTGTGGTATTGCTAGCGGAGACCAGGTAGATACCCAACATCCGTGCAGTGCTGTACCTGGAGGATTCCCTTTGGCGTGTGAGGGAATAGCTGCATAATGAGTCAGCGTTCAACACGGTCTGGTGCCAGAGAGGGGCAGGAAGAACCCCCATCTCTTACATTGGGAACAAATGATTCCCACCCAGTGTAAGCTCCAAGTCATGAGCTCGCTGAGACAGTAAGGTATGTTGTGTTACCTACTCGTCGCAACATCAGGACATTTGGCAGTCCAGGTGGCCCATCGATTGAAGAGTATTTAAGGGAGGTGAAGGCTGTCTGGAGAGCTTGCGCAGTGGGGACAGCAGACAAGCTTGATGTCGTTTTAGACAGCATCACCCCTACTGTGCGACGGGAGGTGAAACTCCATTGTTCAAATGATGACCCAGAGGCCATGCTGGAGGCAATGTTGAAGATCTATGGGGAACACAAATCCCTCCAAGAACAGATGGCGGTTTTCTATACAACAAAGCAGGGAAGCAAGGAGTCTGTGATGGAATTTTCACACAGGCTCCATGCCGCATTTGAAGCCATAACAGATGCACAGTTAAGTGGCGGTGTGACTGTCATGACTCAGCAGGTCCTGAGGGATCAGTTCATTGCTGAGCTGCGCAATGAGCTGACCAAGCGCATGTTAAAAGAGCGAATACTCCAAGAACCTTCGCTGACATTTTTGGCTGCAAAATTGTGGTGTTTATGTAGTTAAAGATTGTAGAAATAAAATGGTTCCTGGAATTATTGGCACTAATATTTTAGCAGCTGTGTCTGATTTATGTAGATATTTAAAGTTAGAATATTGTAAACCGGTTGATCCACAACAAGAAGTTAACCACATTAAAGTGTGGGTTGTGGGAGGAAGCAAGATCCATGTGCCTGCCCATTCAATGGTAGTACTTCAAGTGAAAGGTAGAGTGGGGATGACTGTAGATAGAAATGTTCTTTTCGAACCGGCCAGGGACTTGGAGCACAAGGGTTTGATTTTGTCCCACACTGTTACTGTACTGCGACATGGTGTATGCTTAGTCCAGGCAATCAACATGGGGGACGAAAACTTGTTCTTGGCAAAAGGCACCCAGGTCGGTGCGATTTCAGATGCCACAGTAGACTTAAGCAAGTATTTTAAAGTAGTTGGTGCCCAAGAGGTCCAAATTTTGTCATCACCAGTTAGGGAGCATGATGAACCAACCAAATGTCCCATTGACCTGAGTCATTTTGAGGGTAGCGATAGTGAGAGACAGCAGCTAGAGGCATTGATAATAAAGTATGACAGTCTCTTTGCCAAAGATGACTGCGACATTGGGTACACTGACAGGGTCACCCATATTTCTTTATCAGATGATACCCCTGTTAAACAACCGTATCGTCGGATTCCACCAGCGTTTTACAGAGAAGTACAGGACCATTTACAAGGGTTGTTAGAGAAACAAATTATTAGAGAAAGTTCCAGCCCTTGGGCATCCCCTATTGTGTTAGTAAGAAAGAAAGATGGTACCCTTAGATTGTGTGTTGACTATAGGTCCTTAAATAGTAAAACAAAAAAAGATGCTTATCCACTTCCTCGGGTTGATGAATATCTTGATGCCTTGGGAGGAGCTAAACTGTTTAGCTCTTTAGATTTAGCAAGTGGGTATTATCAAGTCGCCATGACACCAGAGGATAGGGAGAAAACAGCATTTACCACGCCATTCGGTTTGTTTGAATATAATCGAATGCCGATGGGTCTTGCAAACTCAGCCAGTACCTTCCAACGGCTTATGCAGTGTACGATGCATGGCCTTTTTTTTTTTTCAATGTTCTGCTTGTATATCTTGATGATATTCTAATATTTTCAGGTGATTTTAATGATCATATTAATAGGTTAGAGAGAGTGTTTAACAGATTGTCCTCACTGGGTCTTAAGTTGAATCCAAATAAATGTAATTTTTGTAAACCTAAGATAGAATTTTTAGGACATACCATTTCGGCTGAGGGGATTGAAGCTGTAGAAGAGAAAATAGCAGCGATCCAGCAAGCACCCATTCCGAGAACCCAGACTGAATTAAGAGCTTTCCTAGGCCTTGCAAGCTACTACAGGAGGTTTGTTCAAATATTTTCCACGGTTGCACGCCCATTACATGAACTGGTTGCCCAGTTAAATTTACAGGTTGACAAGCATAAGAAGAAGAAGAACCCTATTGGCGAGTTGTGGTCTCCTGAATGTGATGATGCATTTAACCAGCTAAAAGGGGCACTAACATCTACACCGCTGCTGGGCTTTCCGGATTTGTCTCAACCCTTTATTTTAGAAGTTGATGCCTCATACCAGGGTTTGGGGGCAGTGTTATCACAGATTCAAGGAGGTGCAAAGAAAGTTTTAGCCTATGCTAGCCGAACCTTACGTCCCTCCGAGCGTAATGCTAAGAGTAGTCTAAAACTTGAACTTTTGAGCCTGAAGTGGGCGATGACGGAGAAATTTAGAAGTTACCTCTTATGTTCTCAAGTTGAAGTTTATACTGATAATATGGGGTTGTCATTATGGAAAAAAGCAAGCTTGGGTGCTATAGAGCAAAGATGGTTAGCACAAATGTCTGTTTTTAACTACAAAATTCAACATAAACCTGGTCGTGCCAACGGAAATGCTGATTATCTGTCACGCTATCCGATTGGTGAACCAGAAGATTCGGATGAGGGAGGTGATGTTTCCATAAACCATATTACATCATCACCGATTCCTCCAGAGTTAGGTTTGAGATCTTTAGATAGAGAAGCTAATTTGAATGTAATTGAAGTCATTCCAGATGGAATTTCTAATGTAAACCTTAACATCAATCATAATGATTGCTCATCACTACCATCTTATTCCATGATTGAATTAGTCAAATTGCAAGAAGAAGATACAAGTATTAGCAGAGTTATGGGAATAATCCTTAACAGCGTGAGAGTGTCCAAGGGAGAGATGAAGAAGTTACCACTTAGTGTTAAAAAGCTGCTTAGGCAGCGCAAAAGATTGCATATTGTTAAAAATTTGTTGTATAGAAGAATTAAGGGGCGTAGTGGTGCAGATGTTTTGCAGCTTGTAATACCAGATGCTTTGACGCAAAGAGTTTTAGAATCTGTCCACAGTGTTGGTCACCAGGGTAGAGATAGGATGTTGCATATTCTTAAAGACAGATGTTTTTGGGTTGGTATTACCGGCGATGTAGAGAAGTTTTGTAAACGATGTGCTAGATGTAACATTGCTAAACCACCTCACATAAAAATACAAGGTCCCACTGGTAACTTGTTAGCATCAAAACCATTCGAGATTGTTGCAATTGATTTTACCCTACTTGAAAAAGACACCAAGGGGTTTGAAAATGTTTTAATAATTACTGATGTTTTTAGTAAATTCACCATTGCTGTTCCTACCAGGGATCAGAAGGCATCAACAGTTGCCAAGGCACTTGTTGAGAAGTGGTTGTTTGTATTTTGGGGTGCCGCAGAGATTGCACTCTGATCAAGGCAGAAATTTTGAATCTACTATTATTTCACAGCTGTGTCGAATGTATGATATTAAAAAAAGTCACACAACGGCATACAATCCAAAAGGTAATGGCCAATGTGAAAGATTTAACCGCACTTTGCATGATTTGCTGAGACCACTAGCGGCCAGTGAGAAAAGGAGATGGTCCGACCATATAGCTGAAGTCCTGTTAGCGTATAATTCAACACCTCACGCATCAACAGGGTACTCTCCATATTATTTAGTGTTTGGTAAGGAGCCTACTTTGCCCATTGATTTTATGCTTAGTTTAACAACTGATGAGAGTGGAACAGAGAGTGTAGATGGGTGGTTGCAAGAACATTTGGCACGCTTGCATGAAGCTCACTGTAAGGCAAACGCTCATCTCAAGCAGGCAGCAGCTGTTAGAAAAGATAGATGTGACAAGTTTGCCCATGGCATACCACTACAGGTGGGTGAAGTGGTTAGAAAGAGACTACACTATAATGAGAGGGCAAAAATCAAAGATATGTGGTCTGTAGAGAAATATGTAGTGACTCTGGCACCAGCAATGTCTGGGGGCCCTTATGTAATAAAGAGAGTTGGCGTAGAAGCTCCAGTGATCAGAGTAGCTGGTCATGAGTTGAAGCGCTGTAAAGAAGATGCTGCTGAAGAGGTGCCTGTGACACTTGGATTGCCTGAGCATCCTGTGGTCACAGCCGATGAAGATTCACAATCAGAGTCAGGATGGTATATTTTCCAACCAGGGGATTTAGATGTTCGGCGTTCAGGTAGAGCTCGCCACCCTGAGAACAGGCGGAAGTGGGGTGAGGATTTTATATATTTGTAGTTGCATTTTTTTTTAAATGAGTTGAATATAGGTAAAGGGGAGGTAATGAATTACTGAACTTGTTTTGGGAGACCCATATTTTCATGATTTTTCAATTATTTACAGAATTGATGTAGTTTTTCTGTATATGTTCATTATACATTTTTTGTTTTGTTTTGATTTCAGTGACATCCACTGATGTATTTGTGATTGAATATTGATAATGTTACAGATGTATTGTGCAAATGTATACTACTACGTCATGGAATTTTTGCCAGTGGTTATGACCCCTAATTTGGTGGGATGTAGAATAGTTCAGAGGGTTCAAAAGGCAGTTATCTATTTTTATTACTTGGTTGTCAGGACGTCAACAGATTTAGTATGGGAACGTGTAACAGGCTGGTGACAGACGGTAGATTTCTGGCCTGTCTATTTTAGTTTAACAAACTATAGCTGCTGGCACTGGTCAGGTGGTTCAGTGGAACTCTTCAGTATTGTCCAGCAGGTCACGTGAGTCGTGGAAGGTGATAAAAGGCCTGATTCTGTTAACAGTTTCCCTTTCCAGCTATAGCGGTACCAGACGCTAGAAGCACTTCCGATTTGTCGCCCAAACCGTACACGGTTAAAGCGCGAATTAGGTTCAGACTGCATAACGGTACTACCTGGTTGTTGGTCTGCTAGTAGTTGTCAGTATTTTGTTATTCATTGATTTACTAGTTGCTTGGTTAGTTCTACTGGTCTGCTTATACCTTCGGTTAGTAGTTCTTAAGTATACTGTTTTCGGAGTGTTGCCAATGATTATTGTTATATGTCATCAAGCCAATAAAGTTTCTGTATTCGTCAACTTACATTCGTGCTATTTTAGTTAGTATGTCTAGGTTTTACTGTTAAACTATATTAGACCCCACACAGAAGATTTGCTGCCAGGGTGAGATACTTTGATTTTACGCCCGCCTAAACGAACTTTTTCTGTTTTCTTTTCTTGCTACTGAGGCAGCTTATGGTTGGGTTTAGCTCGCCACGCGACATTGTTGAGAGCTCTTGTAGGTTCGGAGTAGATTTCCATATTATCCTTAGCTATCTCTTCTCTTTTCCCTTCATCACAAGTTAACCCCTTCCTCTAATTTTGCTTCTAGTACAGTAAGTTCACTAAACAAAGGATACTTCAACGCAAAACAGACATTGACAAGACAAGTAAATAGGAAAACTATATGGTATATCGTGGTTCTGTGGCTAAGTCGATGCGAACGGTTCGTACTGCTGGGGTGCCGGGTTCGATTCCAGCTGCAGGCCATGCGCTTTGCGTTAGTTATGACAGTGGAATCAGGAGGTCGACTGTCCAGGAAACAATGGCAAACTACTGGACATAAATTTGCCTAGAGAAACCACACAACAGCCAGGTGCTGCTGGGGTTGGTTCTGCAACGTCCTGTAAAGGATACGCAACTAACCTTTGCTTATTTACTTTCCTGGGGTATTTCTTGCGTTGTTCAGTTCATACTTCACTTTAAGAATAGTTTTGACCAGGGGCTAGTGTTTATATTTGTGTAGGCTGGCGCCTTTCTAATCTTCTCTAACAAAATTAAATTCTCAGAGGACCTTCCTAGTGAGACGCTGTTGCCGCCTCCTTCGAGGGTCATTCAGGGCGTCTGCACCACCTGCGATGTCCTAGTTACGAGGGTCGAGTGTAAGAGAGCAAGAGATAGACAAAGATACAAGCGAGAGGACATCAAGATATGGACAAATCGCAGTTTGAATGAGTGTACAATCAACAAAAGAGGCAGAGTGTGTTCTAGATAAGTTGCAGACACCTCTCATTGTGGAGACGGTACTTCATTAGGTAGGTAGGTAGTTGTACCACACCAGGACATCACACAAATACAAACACCTGGCGACACAAAGGGCTACCATGCGGATGAAGATCACCCATGCAGAGGTCACAAAACCCCTTTCAGCCGCCAGGCCATATCTATGGATAGGCCATATCCATGCCCTGAATATATATATATATTCAGAGCCCCCGGCAGAAGCTAGGGTGGAGCTTTCAACCAAAAAAATCGCATCCCACGTGGGGACGACAAATAGGACGGACTCTCTACCCCACCAGGACATCACACAAGCGATAAACACCCGATGACACAAAGTGCCACCATGCGGATGAGGATCACCGTGGAGAGGTCCCAGAAACCGCGTTTAGACAATTGGCCATTTTGATGGCCTGCCTATATTGCGGTCTCTGGCAAAAGCCAGAGTGGGGCTTCAAATAACAAAAAATTACGTCCTAAAAAGGACGTAAGTAAAATTACAACTTAAATAGCTGATCTTTTCTAATTTATACAGTAAATAAAATAATAATCCAAGGGATGACACTCTGAAAATATTCTAATTGTGTTTCTGGGCGAACAACCGGTTTGAAGAAAGCGGAGAAATT